GGAGCCTGCATCCGAGCCTGCACCCCGGAGCCTGCATCCGAGCCTGCACCCAGGAGCCTGCACCCAGGAGCCTGCACCCAGGAGCCCTCACACCCAAGAAGCCCGCGCCCCCAGGAGGCTGCACTCAGGAGCCTGCATCCAGAAGCCCTCACACCCAGGAAGGAGCCCACGTCCAGGAGCCCACACCCAAGGGTCCACGCGCCTAGGCTGGGCAGTGGGCTTCCCAGGCTGTAATGACTTGGGGGCCATAGGTCTGAGCCCACATGGGCTCCATGGCCAGTATTTGGACAGGATAAACCCACTCTTACCCCACACCTGCACCCCAGAACCTGGTGCTACCTGGGACTGAGGGCTGAGCACCTCCTTCCCACAGGGCTGGCCCCCAGGACTGTCCCCGAGGAAAGCCAGCATCACTCAGAGCAAAGACCTAGCAGCATCACCTCACAATGTGATGCTTGGTGCTGGCCGGGGAAAGGGAATCGAGAAGATGAGGCAAGCCCAAGGTCACTGAGCCCCCAGGAGCACCCTGAGACATCCCTTACCACCTACACAGACTACTCCCATAGATGGCATTTGAGCCTGGACACAGCTTCAATGGCCAGCCACGGTCAGACCCACCAGGGCCCCTCTGTGTTCAGGCTACAAGATGTGGCCAACAGGTTCCCAGGACCCTCCCAGCTCCAAGTCTCTGCCTCAGACTGTCCTGTCTGGAGCAGTTTCACTCAGCGGCCTCACCGCACCTGTGACCTCATGGACAGAGGGAGACACAGAGCTGTCACCCGAGAAGCCCCCTGCACATCCAAGCACCTCTTGCTATGCTGTAACCAACACAGGCTGACAAGAGGAGGGTCCATCAGGCAAACCCAGCTCCATCCTGCCCCACCTAACCTTTCTGCTGACCAGCCGGAGCTTGGACCCTCCCCGCATGGTCTGCCTAGTCTGACCCTAGTCCGTGCCCTTGACCTGTGGAGCCCCGCCCCCTGACCTAGCCCTGCCCTGTCTTGCACAGCCTTGCTCTAACTCTGCCCCTGCCCCACCTGTCCCCCTCAATGTACCCCATCCAGCGCTGCCCGCCCTAGGCCCTTGCCCCGCCCTTGCCCAGCCTATCTTCAGGTCCACCTTAAGTCTGCCCC